CTGTCTGTCTGTCTGTCTGTCTGTCTGTCTGTCTATCTATCTATCTGTCTGTCTGTCTGTCTATCTATCTATCTGTCTCTCTGTCTGTCTGACGTAACTCCAATGTATCACTGGTCTTTGTACCTGTATGAAAGTTAGAGTTCACAATTCAGTTCGTAAATTGCAATTCATTTTTAAAATCACATTAGACTATTACAGTTTTTCTCAATTGCTTTGGCACATTTTTCGAAACAATCTTAACATTCTCTAAACTGTGAGTGCAAATGTCACAACTGTTTGCTGGATCTTCAGAACTTTATTGCATGTCTGCAAAATGTAGTTACTCACCCAAAACATTTCATTCATGCTTCAAAACCTAGTTATCGTGTCAGTAATTTGGCCAAGGCCACCAAAATATAACTGCAATGATCAGCTGTGATGTCCTCACATGCAGCATTCATGTCATCCAACAGAGACATCTGATCTTGTTGTCTATGATCATATACTTTCCACCTCCATGCTGAAAAAAACTCTTCTATTGGATTTAGGAATGGAGAGTATGGTGGAAGGAACTCCACTGTTATCTTCTGCTGACCAGCACCTAACAATGTAGGATCAGTGGAAGCTGATACGAAAGGTTTGCACAATTGATGACACTGTGGACCGGTTTACATTAGGCTGTACTCTTCGACCAGCCTCTTCCACTGTAAAACCACGATTTATGACATGATCCACAAGTGTGGCTCTGATTTCATCAGAGACTCTGACTCTTCTATTTCCACCTCTTCCTCTATTATGTCTTCCTCTAACACCACCACCATGTATTCTTACACGTCTTCCAATTGCTCTTCCACGAGCATGTTTCTGCAGTTCAGGGTTGTGGAAGTCCTCCATTCTTAGTGATTGTGCTGTGGGCACACAATACTACATACAGTATATAATGGTTGAATGGTTGATTCAAATTTTATTGCAATTAAAGGTAATTTGCCAATTTAGCAGACATTACAAACAATGTCAATGTCAGATATTTATAGAATATACATGCGTGTATACCAATTTTTCATAATTGAATGGATCGTTTTGAATGTGATGGCTTACACGATGAAAAATGGTTGAGAAGTTGTGAACAGTTTGACAGTTTAAGTGAGAATCGATCAGTTTTGATCAACAAGCCATATGCAATTAGTTGTTGTGCAAACTGCAGACAATTGTACTTACTGTTTGCACACATGTGCCAAAGCATTTGCAATTTGCTCAAATCAATAAGAAATTCCAATCTGATGTGAACAAGAAGCTAATTGTTCAGAGATCTGAACTTATTGTTTCGGGGGGGAAAATTCATTTGAGAATTGAGCCAAAGCAAAACTGAGAAAAACTGTAAATGTAAGTGCCGTGAAAATAAAACTTTTCAATCCATAAAGCATGTCAAAAGAAAAAATATATATAAGATTTGCTCATTTAATTCGGGTCTCCCGCATAATTTACTATGATGATGATGATGTAGCCTAGATGATGATGAGACATTTAAGTGTTATATTGATTAATTGTAATTTGGATTTTTATGATTATAAAGGTGTGTGTAATGACTTGTTGAATGTGTCACTGTGATACCGAAACTGAAACCACTTTACTTAGATTTTTCGTTCTTTAATTAGTTACTACTTCGGTGGGTTTCATAATTATGCATGTTTCATGACTGACATTTATGATTCGACATTAATGAAAAACCTCATGCTGTATGAATGAAATAAGAGCTCAATCTGTCTATGGAACACTGATAATAATGTTGCGGAGGTGCTCACTGACCACTGGATGACGCCATTTGACAAATTTCCTTTTACTTGATTTATAACTCAATATTACGCGTCTCTATGCATAGAATGAAGCGAATGCGCCTTGGTCGACATCGACCTTTTTTTCTTATGATTAGTAGACCATGAACTTATGTTAAAAGGAAGTAGCCAGATTCACTGGAAGAATCATTCTGCTGGAACAAATAGAAACGTGCATGCTGCGCTCAAATGAAATGATAGTTTATTTTACAATAGCCTACTTATTTTTATCTAATAAAAAAATCATAAACGTATTATATGAACTGGAAGTCAAATCGGACATATATTTGGACATATTACAATATGGACATAAATTGGACTCACGTCCGCCACCATAGAATTATAATTCACCCTTCTGACTGTTAATTTACTTGATTAATAAAACGACCAGTCCGAAACTCTTAATGTTATAAAGGAGTTATTGAAACATTGGCCGTTCATTGTCGATTAACACTCGGATCAAAGCGCGCGCAAGAACCTAAATACATGTTTCCCTTCGCATAAGCCTGCAACCAATATAGAAACAGAAAAATGCGCATGATATCATCACTTCTATGGTATGGTCATATGGCCATATAAGGTACTGTGTAAGAAATGAAATATTTATTTCTATTCTTGACTGTTCCCAGCTGTCTCACTGTAAAGCGTATTGAACTATTAAATTGCTAGGTACATAGGTAACCAAGCGCTTTGGATATGATATAGTGCAACTTTTTAAGCAATTATGTAATTCAGTTACAGATTTGGGTAGGAAATGTAAGAGATTAGATGTTCATCTGCATTCTTGCACTGGCACAGAAGTGCACTTTCTCATTTGTAAGACACCCATGAACTTTCGTGCAAACAGTGAGAACTAAAAAGGAGATTTCCATGATTTAAAGTTAGTGTCAACAAAACAATTTTCGTGTTCTCTTAATTTAAAGCTGCATCCCAGTATTTGAATGGCTATTTGAATAGTGCATAACACGTGTGCGTGTTTGGAGAGCTCCAAGTGCACATTTACGCGGGTGCAATATCAGAGTTTAGTGCTATAATTCAGAGCACAACATGGAAAGATGAATAATTTAGGTTGCTTTCTTGATTTCTGATGGCACAAGATGCGTGAATATATCAAGATCGTTTTGATTTAAAGGTCCAAACTGTAAACATTCCCAAAGTGCCAGACAAATTTGCGCACAGAGAGGATTTCCTCGTTTTTGATCTCATTTTTGAAGCGTTAACTCGTTCCATTAACTAATTTCGTTTAAAAATGATCAAAAATAACGTAAAGCTATTTGAAGTAACAAATAAATATGTTATTTGTCTTTTCATCTCGTTGGCAAGGAGATGTTGGCGTTCAAACCGGTCGTGGCGTTTATATGCGGACCGTCCAGTTCTGCGGTTATTATTATGCTGTAAGGGGTGGTTAATATGTAATTTGCACCATATGGCATTTTAAAATCCAACCTTATTCCCACAATCTTCGATCTGTGTGGATTTACCTAATGATGCCCAATTAGTCATTGAGCAGGACCAAAGATGAGGCTTGTGTGGATACTCTCTCGCTAATATTTGCTCTCCAAATATTTCCTTTGAAACGTTTACAACACATTTTATCTGCTAGCCAGACAAGGGACATCTGGGAGGGTTTTCAACTCACTATTTTTATAAATAAAACCACAATTGGTTCACATTTGCCCCTCTGACTCTATTTGTTCATGCTTGAAAGAAAATGTAATAAAAGGGGCACCATGATGGATTTATGATTTATCAAAAGCACTTTACCATATGGCAGTCGTCTTTGGAGCAGGTTTTCAAATGTTTGCTTTAAAAGAACTAAATCTGATTAACATGTAGCCTACGGTCGTCGCGTGGAAGGATGAAAGATGCGCCAGTCACGTGACCGCCGGAGAGCCTCAATCTCCAGTCGTTTGAGAATCACAGAAGTAAAATAGGGCTTGTATAGGCCCATAAATGAGTTTAACATGTCAGAATTATCCTTTAGGAGCTGACTACTTTCATATGTGGGCGCGCACTCCTTTCACTCGCTCATTCAGAACATCATGGGACCTGTTCAGCGCTGGGTGGTGCTGAAATCACAC